AAAAAAAAAAAAAAAAAAAAAAGTTCTAAGATTTTGAAAGATTATTTTCTTCATAGGAGAGAATAAACTATAACTTTTGAGAATGACCTTATTTTAGCACAAAAAAAATCAATGAATTGTTAACATGTTTTCTATTATTCAGTAGTGACCCTATGTTTCTTCAAATTTCAATTTCTTTTTTGTTATATTAACTTATTGTTCAATTTCTGAAGTATAAAATATACTTATTTTCAATGTAATAGAAAACTGAATGAATTATACTTAAAGACAGTTAAAATGAATGGTACTATTAAACATACATACAAGAACAATTAGGACATCAGCAGTATTACAGAACAGAGATGGACAAACTCTGACTGTTTCTGTAAATTTTTGTTGAAATACAGTCACACTGGTTCACTTAATTATCATCCTTGGCAACTTTTGTGAAATATCTACAGAGCCTGAATGGTGTGATAATGACTATGATTGTTACAAAGCCTAAAATAGATACTACTAGAAAGTTTGCTAAGCTCTACTCTTCAATTTAGATATTTCCCCCCAACAGTGAGTTGAGAATGTTCTTTTAGGATTCCAGAAACTGAACGAGGAAACTGTTTGAAAGACATTTTTCCTCTATGATGGTCTGGTGTAATATACTTTTCTTCAAACCCTTCAGGTACCAACCAAAAAGCTGAAGAAATATGAAAAAGAGTATCAGACAATGCGAGAGAGTCAGCTGCAACAGGAAGATCCAATGGATAGATACAAGGTATGGGGACACCTGTCAGCGCACAGCACCATTTTTACCTTGAAGCAGAGTTCTCTGTCCAACCCTGATGATTTAAACTGACCTATCATCCTATCCTGACAGATTTGTCTTCATTTCAGGAGACTAAGTAGCCAACCATAATATTTCTTTTCTTTCAGTTTGTATATCTGTAGGTAACTCCAGCTGTTGCATTTGTGTTGGGACTCATCATAAGAAGCTGGGAGAAAAGAGAGGGAGAAAGAAAGAGGCTTCCTACTTTCAAAAATGAGGAAAAAAAAAGAAAATGGCAAAGTATTGTCTTAGCTGTGCATTATCATTTCCACAGACTTTTAGAAGGGGAACTCTTCCAAGCCTGACAAAAGGATGTTTCAGACTTGCCTCGGTCTGTAGCAATGTCACAAATACAAACTTATTTAGAAGGAAAAATAAAAATCACAAAGCTATATCAAGCACAGTAATGGTGTTTATTGCAACATTTATTACCACAAACAGCTTTTATCGACAACACATTTAACTACCATATGTGGTTTCAAAATCAAAATTATTTTAATTGAGTATCCTAGTTCATTTTGGTATTTAAAAAAATGTCTGGTATTTTTTTAAAGTGTCATCTATAAAGATAGAGCTTTTCAATTGTAATTAGCAGCACTAGTCCTAGGATACAGTATTAGGAAATAGTGTTTCCAACCTACTTTTTTCTAAGTGAAATATTATTGTATTTCCTCAGCAGGTTGTAATTCTGTTTTCTTTCTTTTCTTTCTTTTTTTGCAGGCCTGGGGCTTGAACTGAGAACCTGGGCACTGCCCCTAAGCTTCTTTTGCTCAAGGCTAGCAACCCTACCACTGGAGCTACAGCGCCACTTCTGGCTTTTTCTGTTTATGTGGTGCTAAGGAATCAAATCCAAGGCTTCATGAGTACTAGGCAAGCACTCTACCACTAAGCCACATTCCCTGCCCTTAAGGCCCATATACATGCATTTTAGTTCATCTCTGTGTATCAGGATATCCTGCCATAATTACTACCCAATCTAACATCAATCAGTATTGCTTCTGAACTTTTCACAGAACTAGTTTGAGTACTGATAATACATACAGCTATGGTAGATAATATTAATATACAGGATGCTCATAGATAAGGTTTTAAGTCTATCTATCTTTATCCTTCAATAAGTCCCATTTTAAGGTAGGTCTTCTAATATGATGCTTTAGAAGATAGCAATGATAAACTGTTATTTAGGGGATGGGAATGAGGCTCAGTGGTAAGAGTGCTTGCTTAACATGCATGAATCCCTGAGTTCCATTCCTTAGTACCACATAAGCAAAAAAAGCTGGAAGTGGTACCATGACACAAGTGGTAGAGGGCTAGCCTTGAGCTGAAGAGCTCAGGAACAGCACCCAGGCCCAAAGTACAAGCCCCATGGCCAGCAAAAAAAAAAAAAAATTAGGATTTTCTTAAAAATTGTCTACTGTTCTTAATACCACCATGATTGTGAGTAAAATCTGTGAAAAATGCTTTAAAATAAGAGAGAAGGAAATGCAAGTCCAAATGGGTACATTTAAGCAGACAAGTGCTGACAACAGTGATACATGCCACTAATCCCAGCTACTGGGGAGGCCAAGGTGAGTAAATCACTTGAGTCCAGGAGTCTCAGACCGGTCTGAGTAAAACAGAGAGAACTTGTCTCAAAACAGAAAAAGAAACACGGGCTAGGACTGAACTATAACTTATATCTTAAATCCTTTTAGTGTCAAGTAGACGTGTGTAAATAAATAGTAAGATGTATGCTTTTTTTAAAGCACTTATATTAAGATCACATGTCGTGACTTTTTTTTTCTTGAGACAGGTTCTCAGCATGTGATCCTCCTGACCCAGCTTTCTGAGTGCTGGGATTACTGACTCATATCACCTTGCCTGCCCAGTCTGTTGTGACCCCTTATTTACATATTTATGCTCTATATTTATTTCTTTTGGGTTATTATAATGGTGTGCAAGTGTAGTATCTTAACTTTAAAAAAAAATTTCAGGGGGCTGGGAAGGTGGCTCAGTGGTAGAGTGCTTGCCTTGCATGCCTGAGGCCCTGGGTTCGATTCCTCAGCACCACATAAGCAAAAAG